AGATTTAGTTCTGGAGTGCTTAGTAACAAAAAAGACCTGGAAGAACAAAGGGAACCTAGGAAAAGATGAAAACTAAACAGATGGAGAGACTAATTTAAAGACAAAGATTCGATGAATGGACTAATATCGGTGCTAGAATTCTTGGAACTACTTAATTATGTATCAGTCACAGGCAAAAATGCTCCAAAGAATACGCTGACAAGTATTCTTTTTCCCCATTTCTGACTTGACAAGCAGATCATGATTCTGTTGAATTAATTTGCTATTCATACTTATTTCCCAGATAAATTTAGTGGCTCATCCACAAGTACTTAGCTGTAAGGATTTGCTATTTGAAATTCCAGCTGTGCTGTTCAGATTTGATAGGCTACAGCAAACACATGGTGTGTATTTGTTCCCGGGAGGATGCATGTAACATCTCCACTGGCAAGCTTGCCTCCTAGAATATTTTTGGAAGACAGGCACAAAAGGGGCAATAACAGTCACAGAACATCGTGTTCAGAAATGCAAGGGATGTTTTCAGGGGATGGTTCTATTTCAGGACCCCATTTTCAAGAAGAAAACATCTTTTAGGTCAGGGGGTGTCAGCCAACCAGCACACTGAGCAGAAGGATCTGAATTCTCACCTGCTAACAGTAGAAAGGTCCATATGGCCAGGATGCAAAGTGTAACAGGTACCGGTTACAGAGCTATCAGCCATATGGCAACTGAAGTTAAAGGAAGACAGCACATGAAAACCAATAATGAGCACTAAATGTATTGGGATAAAGACTCATTTGCAGAATAGAAATAAAAAGTGAAACTAAGCAAAGGAAAACTAATGAGACAGCAGGAATAATGTACAAATATGCTGTGTGTTGGACCATGGAATTAGTATTTTCAGGGGAAAAGAAAAGGCTTAAATGCCATCACTTCAGAAAATAAGACTGGATATACATACTACAAAGAAATAGTCATGTTTTTATCACTGTGAGAGGGATGGGCAAGAGATAATGAAATACCTTTGCACCAGATTTGCATTCAAGTATACAAAGTAATCAATATTTACAGGTTTTGTTTTCAGGCTCCATCTCCACACTTTTACTGAGAGGGTAGAATCTGCATGCAGAGAGCACATATAAATGACTTGCAGCTCATTTCCATTTAAAATGTCTTTTTAAATACTGATTTGACCTCTGGCTGTATTTTGTGTTGGGTAATACATGTAAAATTGTCACCCAGATTGTGTGTGAAACAGAAGTTGAAAGGAACATATTATACCCTCTTGCCTTTTTTGCCTGCTTGTTTTTTGTTTTTTTTTTTTCTCTTTCAGAATGCCAAAGGAAGAGGGGATATCAGGAAAAAAAAAAAAAAGGCAAAGAAGAATTGGGATATTACAGTAGAACATGAGGGAAAAGAAAACTGTGCACTTCTCATTACATCATATTAAAAACATGGGTTTTGATCACCATACTGGAAGCTAGAACAGTATTTGCTGTTGAGGTATCATGCTGATGAGCTGCTTTAAATACTTTGCTTAACAAAATAAATAGACTCTTGAAGAGGTCAGATATAAATTAAATTTTGTTGAAAAACTGAAGATTTGTTACAACCAGATGTGATGTGCTTTTTTGTTATTTTTAATAAAGCTTTAAGAAAATCTTGCTTTTGTTAATGTTGACTTCCCCTGTAATACTGGACGCCAGAACATCACAAGAGGGAATGAGAAGTGATTATGTCTATGTATAACAAGTGGAACTTTTTGAGACAATTACCTCTTGCAAAATAAATAACTTTTTAGTTTTGTATTTTTTTAAAAGTCTTTACTTTAAATTCCTTCATTTAAAAATTTTATATGAGCCATATAACAAGGTAAGATGCATTTGTAACTATCTTGCTGTAGCATGGCAAATATATGACAATGTCTCTCTGCTGTCCAGTACTACATGTAAATACAGTATTGTGTAATATAGCAAAAAGGAGATTCTCACTTGTGTTTAGGTTCAGAATTAATCAAGGAATTTCTACTTCTGATTTTGCAGTATAATTGAATTGCATGGCCAAAAAAAAAAAGTGAACATTCAAGAAAAAATGATATTGCTTCCTCCTTAGGCCCACACTTTCCAGAAATTGTTTATGTAAAGGACCATAAATAATAAATAGGGGGTTTGATGAATGGCTGCCCAAATGGAAAGGAGCTCAGCATATTATTCTATGCTCCCCTTCTATATCTTTAGCAGATTGCCTGACAAACTGTGATCTACTTGTGTTTGTAATATTTTTATAGGGCAAATGCCCCCACCTGTAACACAAGTGGCATAAATCACCATTGGGTACCCTAGTTTCCTCTGATAGTGAAGTGAAGCTGAATTTAGTAATGTTTGCTGCATACTGCTCAGATCTGTTTTCTGTGAAAGCTGGTGCAGCAGAGTAATGGACTGTTACATATAAAAGTTGTCACAGTTCTTATGCAAGTTAAATATTTACATCTTCTAGTCAAAAATAAATGTATATAGACCTATTCTTCTGTGTGTATACAATAGAAAATACATTAAGGGTGTGTATTCAAAATATTCCAAAAGAGTGCAGGTGTCTCAGTCTTTAAATTATTCCATTTAAAGTTTAGTTGAGCCAAAAAGGTTCTTTGCCCATAGGAATCAACACTTTCATTTAGAGGTAGAACTCAACTGCAGTTTTTCCTATATGAGGCAAGTCATTAACCTTTGCCAAATCATTACCTCCAGAGATAATTAACAGTGATCTCACAGAAAACCTACCTAATAAAGTAAGCACTTGAAAAATAATATGAAGAGAAAATGTGGTCTACCTCCTAGCTATGGGACACATGTCCATGGAGAAAGCAAGTTTCTGTGGAATTAAAAGAAGAGTAGGTGAAGGAAGAGAGGATTATTTTAATCTAATAAACCCCCAAGCAAAGGTGATTTTAAAATCAGCTATGATATTATAGTGGACATTTTATCTCAATATCAAATATACCTCAGGTTATTTTAATTAAATATAATAGGGATTCAGTTCCATTAGACAATAATTCAATTAAACAATAATAAAACTTTTCAGCAATGTTAGTTTCAGTAACTTACCTGTCCTGAACCTGATGAAATATGAATTTGCCTAGTTACAGAAGAAAGTTAAAGCCTTAACCTAGGAAGCCAATGTTCCCGTCATGTCTATTGACTTCAGCGCTCACTTCATCTCTTTTCTTCCCTTACTTCTCTCTAAAATACACATAAAAATACTAAACTAGTTTACAGGAGCATTGTGAAGATAAATACACAAAAGAGTACAGCAGGTTTAGCATGCCTTAAATTCTCTCTGAGCTCCTTGTAGTTGCATGTAGCTGCAGAAAATAAATCACTATAATTTTATCACTCTGTGTAATCCTCTTGTACATTATTTATAAGAACCCAGCAATATGTCATATTGATTCATGCTGTAAGCCTATAAATAATAAAATAAAATATAAAACTCTATATGAATCAGAATCAAGCAAATTAAAATGAATATTTACTACTGTCACAAAGGCTTAGGCATCTGATTTCTGACAGTAGATTGGAAGACCTGGTTTCAGAACCGTTTCACAGCAGCCTTTTCCTTCTAATGAATTAACTCAAATGATGGGAGCTATGCTACAAAGAAAGACCAACAGCCTACCCCATTTACTGTGGTTTCTTCTGTTACCACACCTGTCAGTTCCTGAGGGGAAAAATAAGTAGAAATTAGGCTATTCATATAAGATAGGTAAATATTTCTTTTTAATTCCTCATTCTGTTATATTCAAAATGCTGCCATTGGGCAGCAATTTGAAACTTCTGCCTTAGTTCATCTACTTGATTAATCATTGTCCTTCCTGTATTTGGAGCCAGTTACTTTTTGAGTGTAGGGCTGTATTAACAGGTATTAACAGGGCTAGGGAGGCAACAGTCACCCTCCATCTATGCTCATGCTTCAATGAACCCCACATCAACAGATAACAGCAACAGCCAGCAGTAAGATATGCATTTATAGGAAACCAAGATTTGTACCTACAACCATTTAAAATAAAAATAGGTGCTGAGGCTTCTGCAACTTCTGTTTTAAGCAGACCATCTTCAGTAGATAGGACCAAGTCCATCTCTTGCAGAATCAGAAATAGCAAACTTCATTTATAAAACTAGCACAACACAAAATAAGCTCTGCTCATGACCCAAGCCTAAGAAACATCTGTTCTCCAACTTTTCTGTCATTGACTTTTCTGTCTAGAGTAAGATACTGGGGTATTTCCTTTCCCCTTTCTGTGCATGCCTGCCTCAGTGAGTACTTTACTTGATTTGGGCCTTTTTCCTCTTTGCATTACAATAAAAGTGAAACAGTTTTCTTTATGCTGCCCTTTGTATTGTCTGCCTTTAGAAGAGTTGGACATGTCCAAAGTCTAAAAGATAAACGGAAACGAGTAATATCAGACATCTCTTACTAGTGGAACAGCAGTGACCACAATGGCAGAGCTCTCCTGAATCTGCTAAAACAAAAAAAAATTGTGTAATCAATAACTGCAGAACTTTCAAGCTCCTTAAACTGGGCTGAGTAGTTTTCTGTGAGCGTTTTGGTATTTGTTATAGTTCCAAATCAGGAAAGTACCAAAGATGGAGCTTGATAGATTTTTGTGCTCAGGGTTATTCACACGTGCAAGTTCTTTAAGAAGGCTTACTGAACTGTTGACTAGCTAATCGTTCCGATAAGCTACATGAGATCTTTATTCCCAGTCTGGATAAATGTTTACATACTTCTGGATTAAAGACTTGTATTGCCAAATTTAATTTTCATTTTCTTTTAAAGCTTATGCATATAATACCATACATAGTACCTTCATGCTAGTCAGCTGAATCTCTAGGACATTCACAGAAAACTATGCAAGATGTGAGCACGTGAAAGGTGTGAGCACGTGAAAAGTGAGTGTGTTTGAAATATGAGCAAATATTGGCAGAAGTATCTTGTGATATTTTATTCTTATATATATATGGCAGAAAAATACATAGTCAAGGAGAAATTGTTGTCTGAGGCGACACAAGCAAAAAGAAGATGCCAAGTGCAGGAGAGCCACATTGATGGGCAGAAACAGGATAACCTTAAGAAATAAGCTTAATGGTCAGAAGGAAGATGCACATGTATATTAAATGCTTACAGCTAGACCAGAACAGATGTAGGAAATCTAAAAATCCAGGAGACCAATTGTGAAAATTTTCCACTGATTGTAATCTGTAGAGGTGGCCTCAAAACACCCTGAATATGCAATTGGCCTGAATAATGTTCCATGTCTAGCTTCTCACAGTTTAAAGTGTCCCTTTCCTATTTACCTGGAAATTTATCTTATTAGCATCCCAGAATTTAATTCAGTGTTATATCAACAGGTAGTATATAAGTAGGAGTTTAATCAGTGTCAATATTAAGACATATAAACTCATTGTTAAAAATCAGCTAATTATATGAATATGGGATTAGGAAGGAAATTAATACATTTGGTAGGACTTAAGAGAGAATAACAGAAAAACAAGGCTGTGAGGAAGCTCAAGGAGCCAGCTATTCCATCCATGGTAAGAAGAATCATGTCATGGTCACTGTTCAGCCTCCAATGAAAGGAAACTGTGTTTCCCACTCACAAATTTTGGTAAGATATTTTTGAGTAAACTTCAAGTTGGATGTTCTGATGACATCAGGATCCTCAAAATTCTCTCCAGAAAGAAAAGCCTGATGCAGTCCAACATCTGCTGATCTAAGAAAGACACATTTTCAGACATTTATCCACATTCTGATTAATTACTTATTTGGAACAAACCTCCTTAAAGTTGTCCTGTTTAAGCCTCACTAATTCCCTCATTCCTAAGCCACGATACTGAAGATGTCCATCTCTCCTTTTTGTATTTTTTTCACGGTGTAGAACTACTCCAGCATAATAATTTGTTTGAACTTCAGCATAAAATAAACAGATGTTTTCAGAAGTCACTACAGTGAATAAAGTCACTTAGTACTGAATAAGTTTATTTGTCCAAAACCAATAGTAGAGATGAGACTTCAATATCATTTTCTTTTTGCACTATCCCACAAAAAAATCATCCTATACTCTGTAACACTTCTTCTAATCTAACTTATACCCAGCCACTTAAGATTCTAAGTGAAAATGAATGTTTTGACTAGCAAATATTTTTCTGATGACAGTGTTTCATGAAAAGTATCTTGAACTCCGTTACATCTATGTATTACGAGCAGTTTTTAGACTTGAAATATATCTTCCCCAAATGATCAGAACTGCTCTCATCCCAGTGAAAGAACATTCCTGAATTATTTAAATCAGCACTTTTTTGTGGTACTTTTCTATGTCATCTGCACAAGTATATATTTTGCTGTTGTATGGTGTTTTTTTCTTTCTAAAAAAATGTCACTGAGTAAAGTAAAGGAATAACACAGATTTCATGGCAGGACTAACACACAGTGATGAACATAACTAATAGACTCGCTGCAAATTTGGTATCCAATCTGGGCACATAGAACTATCTATCTGTTCTAATCAAAACAGCTCTGGGCTGGTATTCTCAGGAATAAAGAGTCAAAATAAGGTGAAAGTTATTCTCTCTATGCAGAAAAAGATGGCATGTTCATGAAATGACCAATGTGAACATAAAAGAGGGTAAAGAAGAAATAGGACACCTGAGAGGTCTATATTGGAAGTAAATCACTTCAGTAGAACCATCTGTAAAAATCCCAGATGACTTCCAGAGCAGCTTCTAATAGAATCTGTCAGTAGGAACAGTATCTCTGCTCCACTTATTGACTGAGAGCGAAGCTCCTTCTTCTATTCCCTCAGTCTGCTCAGACTATGAACAAGAGAAAAAGCAGTGCCCAATTGTGTTCTCCTTTCTCTTTCTGGCTGCAGTTCTGGATATCAGTGGCATGCATGACAACATTCACCTGGCAATATAGGCAGAGACCTAAGAAAGGCTTAAGGTTTATTAGGTGACAACTTCTTTCCTGGAGAAATGAATTCAAACCACTCATTCATATAGAATACAGTAGTTCCTACCTGGAAAACTACATCATCAGTAGAAAATATAATTGCCTTCAGATACACCAAGGGATATAGAGATAGTCAGCAACTTTTGACAGCTATTGCATTCAGTCATGGGGTTCCAAGTAGTTTGGTTTAAAGCAGAAAACTAAGCAAGCTTTGGTGACTCTTTTTTAACTTCCCAGACATCTCATGATTTTGGACATCGTGGAAAATTCTTTGAAACTCCTGTATTCGCAAGTGTAGAAGGTGAAGACCTGTGAAATAAGAACAGAAACACACCAAAAAGGACACGCAGAAAGAACCATTGTCTTGAAAATAGTCTGTAAGATACAGGCACATTTTTTTAAAAGACCAAATGTGCTGGGACATTTGGCAGCAGTGGTAAAGAATGTGACAAGAAAAGCAGTATGCAGTGGAAAATGGGAAACCAGTAAGTAGATTGCACAAATGGATCAAGTCCATCAACTCCATCAACTTTCCATATGTTTAATTCAGCATTTAACTTTTTGTCATTTGGGCCCAAATTCTTAAATTCTGGTATAGATCCAGCTGAGTAAATTTAGTTGGATATCGAATCTGACTTGATGAAATGAAGTAAGCCAAGTTTTTTTCCAGTTCCTGAATATTCAAGAGGAAAAACATGGAAGACTTAAAAGGGACTGTACACTTTGCGCTTTGCATTGTCAGACAACCACAGGATAACACCACTTCCCCTCCCTCCTGCCCCCCCCCAGCTGTTACTAGGATGCAAAAAGCTAAAATACAGGTTAATTCATCATCATCATCAGTATCCCAGAGCTAACAGTCATCACAAAAACGGTGTCATAAAAAATACACAAACCAATGCCTCCACAAAAAAACTAGCTCATCCTAAATATTGCAGACAGCAGTGCACTTGTTGGGAGAAGTGTACAACACAGACAAACAACCTAAAGATAACTCCTACCCACCAAGACCATTCATCTAACAAACAGATTACTTCTTTGAGTAAAGTTCTCCTTAGTGCACATAATCATATTATAAGCAAAAGACCTTACCACATACTGCCCTAGCCAGGTACTTGTACAGCAAGTCAGTCCTCAGAGTATAAATTGTTCTGGAAGAAGACCTTAACTTGAACCTGTCTTTCAAATTCTCTTCAAATAAAGCTCCTCTTTTTCAAACTGCTCAGAAACAAATTTCTGTACACACACTCATACTGAATTGAATCAGACCATGCCTAAACAACAATTGCAACACCTTCCAATGCATTTCTCATACCCACCTCACCCCCATCTCAAAGCTCTTCCACAGTGTAACATGCTTTATTCAGCACATTATATGCCATCACAGAAGCTCTGTGATGATAACAACTGCTTATATAGCAGAGTAAACTTTTGTCAGAGTAATCACTAAGTCAGAAATACCCATTTACCATGTGGATAATGGTCTTTCCAAACTATTCATTTTGTTTTACCTTTCAGTCCAGATCTACCACAGAAACCTAAAAAACACCCTCTAAAAACAAAACAAAAAATCATGCTTACTGGTACTTGTAGCCATGGTTTCAAATCATGGTTTTTAACCTCCTACCTGGATCCATTTCCAAATGCAGCTGATGGTGGATATAGCGATGTGATAGTTCATCCCTCATATTAGAGATGTCAGAGCTTCGTGTTTATCATCTACAACAAAGTCACCATCAGCTCAAACAACAAAGGCATCATTGGCTCAGACTTCCAAACTGACTGACTTTGATAGCTTGTACTCGATGGTTTTCAGGAACAGTGAGGGCTGGCTGCTCTGCATGGGAAGATGAATTATGAGCTGAACATGACCGTGGTTCCAGTGAAATCAGTGAGCCCACTGACCAAGAAGCAGGATGCAAAGCAAGTCTGGGTAAGGATCGAGTCCAGAGACTGGTCAGGGTCAGACAGCACAGTTCTTACCCAGACATCCAGGAGCGGGGAGGCAGATCCAAGGCCAACCTGGAAGCAAAAACAGCAGGTCTGGGTCAGAATCACAGAGATATCAGGCACAAACATAGCTGCTGCACAGTTGTGGAGTTGCATGGGTGGGGAGAGCAGTTAAGTCTCTACTAAAAGCAGCTCCCAAGGGAAAGGAGGGGCAGGGTCTCACTTATAGCTTTATTGACAACAGCTCTTATCAGCAAAGGAGCTGATCTTGGACTCAGCCAGCTGAACTCCTAGAAGGGAGATGCACTCGAGGACCTAACAACAGTCTCACCAGAATCAGCGTAAGTGCTTTCTAAGCTGTAAATGCCAATTAGTAATCATCTCTGAAAGCCAAAGAAATATCAAAGGATAAAGAATTGCAACTAAATTGCAACTAAAATCTCAATAATCACAATGAGAAATCTTGACAAGGTGGCCTCAGACATCCTCAGCAAAACACTAGAATGCTATGATGTAAGAATATCTCAACAGAAATGAAAAATGGGTTTCAGGGAAGGCAGACAGAACTTGTCAGATAAAACTTCCATTTCCTGTAACTTTTACTAGGTTGCTTGTTTAAAGGCAAATGAATTTATTGATTTGGATTTTTCCACAGTACTTATATAGCATTGTAATAAATTCTAATGTAACATTTTATTTTATAAGCATCATTTTCAGAAGTAAACTGAACATTGTGAAGTTCAGTGTACTTAAATAATCTTAAAGAAACAAATCTAAGTAAAAAATCTTACCCCAAGAAAGTTGGGTTTGCCTTTGATATCTTTGAGAAAAAAATAAATGCAAAAATTTGTGGAGAAGACATACAGACAGACATGAAGAACCTCAGCTAAAGCTCCCTGATTAAGAAAATATTTTTTTTTCCTCCTTCTTTCTGTTAGATGATACAATTTCCTTTTTCACTTTCATTTCTTTCACAGTTTTTCAGATGGACATATGATATAGTCACCTCAGTGTTATTCTCTTTTTTTAAATTGAAGTACAGGATGGCATATGCTCATCACAAGCATGCAATTGAGACATTTGTTTCAGTGCACTCCTTTGAGACATTCAGACTCCAGCTCTGTACAACACAGGATCATAATATATTCTTTGCACATCATATAATTCATGCAGGCTCAAACACAGGCTAATAAGACTAGTTGCAGTAACTGTTTTGTAGTTAGAGATCTAGAGTAGGAAATGGATAGCACTGTTAGGTGAGATAGAGATGAATAAAAAAAAAAAAAAACAAACACATTCTTTCCATCAATAAATAAAGTCATGCAGGGGAACTAAGCTGTGTCTCACCAGCAGTTTACCTACTTCAATATTCTGATTCTGAAAAAAGCCCACACTTAGTACTTCAAGAGAATGGAAAGCTATTGAACAAGTCCATCACTGTATGACAGATTATTCTCTTCTGATTTGTATAAACAACATACTTGCAGATGCATGCTGACCTCAGCATGACTAAAGGGCAAAGTTCAAAATGTTTCAGGTGTTAACTCATTCCAACTTCATGACCTAGTTCTACTGTATGCTTTCTCTTCCTACATTTTTTAAATACCCATAAACTCATTACGTAAGTCATTACAGCAAATTATTACAGCTCCTAGTGGGGAGAAAAAAAAAAAAAAAAAGCAGGAAGTGTTAGCAATCAGAAACTCTTAAAGGCTAGACCCTTTTCTCTGCTTTTAGCCATATTGCTCTTGGCATGCAAGTTAGCATACTCCAAACTGCAAGCTTGCTCTTGTCAACATATCAAACTTGAGTGCTAATCATTAATAACTCATTCTGAGATAATATTGACAGCTGCTTTGCTTTATTATCAATGCCATCTGTGCCCAGCTCCCCATCTTCTCCTTTCTAATCCTCCTAAGCTTGCTCTCTAAATATTTTTCAGGCTGCAACAAGCAGAATAGAAATAACAGCTTGAGCTTCTTGAGAAATATTACCAGCCAACTAAGGGAGAGCAGAAAAGAAGGAATAATATGATTGTAGAGTCCTGCTGAGTTTTCAGCATAAGTCAGCTTTATGAATAACATGCTGCCAGATGACATTTCCTCACAGTGATCTCCTCCACTGGTTTGAAAAAACAATGTCATACATGTAACATGATCAACTGATCTTATTCTATCTGTAGCAGCACAAAAGCCTCAAAAGACTGATTGGCAGATAACACCACCTGTAGCATTTCTGAGTGTGCTTAATAATATCATATTTGATTTGATCACAAACCTCACAATCACCTAAGGCTGAAGTCAACAAACGTTTATAAAAAAAAAAAAAAGGTAGCTCTCAGTCTTCTGCTGTGACACTTAAAGATTTTTCACTTGTGAGTTTTCAAGGTTTTTGCATTTCAGTACAGCAATGATAATGAGGAAAAAAAATGTCCTTGTTAACTAAACTGTATTCCTGTGAACAAATGAAAAACTTCAGTCTTCAAAAATAAATTTAGCATAACTCATCAAGGACAAGTCAATTTTAAACAGATACTTAACTTGCAAAATTAATATATATTAAAACAATCCTAAAGAAAAAGAACTGAGTGTGTTAATTCAAGCTTCACTTCTGGATCAGCTCAATTCTGATGAAAATGCAGAGATAAACAGTATAAATAGACATGAGATTTGATTGCTCTCTGCTAACATTTCTGGAAGAAGAAGGGAAAAACAGGAAGATTTTCAAAAGAACCATTAAAACCTTTTAAATGTGGATTTTTTTAAAAAAGTAGATGTATTTCAGATCATTCAGTAATTCTATTTTGAGCAGAGGTAGAAGAAGCCTGGAGGTCTAATGCTTCCCTTGAAAGAAGGAGAAAAAAAAAAAAAAAGAACAAAAAAAAGAACTGAAAAAGAACTGTCTTTTTTCTAAGTGAATTTGATCACTTGCAATTTTTAATTCAGGGGAAGGAAAATGATAAACCGTGCTTTCTTCATCTGAGCTTATTCTGAATGCAAAAATTCAAATGCAAATTCTGTCCAAAGCAGAAAGGTCTGGAACAGATGGCAGAAAGTCTTCTGAATGTCAGTTGAAAAGAAGCTGTCAGCAGGAGACAATGATACCTTCAGCAAATAATAAAGAAAAAACTGTACAATAAAGGAGAAGTTAGGTAGCTTTCTAAGAGTACTTGCCAGGAAAAGGAGGGGGTGCTTCCTAGCTGAAGAAGATACAGTTCTAATGACCCAAGGAAGAGACTAGAAGCTCAGCAAGCTTGTCTGTTTTTCCCAGCCACATCGCTGATCTAGTAAAAGACACTATCACCACAAAACTTGCCTCTGTTATGTTCTTAGGAAATGTAGGTTCAGGAAATTCACTACTACCATGCACAAGATACAATTCTGCATAAGGAGAGAGGCTTCAGAAGGATGATTAGAGGCTGTCACTTCAAGGCAAGAATTTGGCAGATCAGTGGTGGCCAGACTACAAAGGATGATGAAGGACGGGAATTATTGCAAGTTCAGCTTTTGTAATTGTCTCACATGGATAACTGACTGGGGCTGATAACATACTGGCAAACCCAACATGGCATTTATTTTATTTTATTTTTTAGCTCAAGTAGTGAAAGTTTGCATCTGTGGAATTCGGTTCTCAATGAATGACCACGATTTCTGTTTTAGTGTATTGTTCATTGTGCTTCCACAGCACATTTCACCCTTGACTGTATCCATTAGTAGTCAGCAGCAAGCAAGCTGATCAGAGTAACCCTGACTCCTGTGGTATCACAGACCCAATCTCAAAAGAAACAAGACCTGTCAGAGAGATATAATGCTTTGGAAACTAGATTTTGTGTCTCCACCCATCTGTAACAAGTCTGAATCCTGAAAAATCAATGTCTGCTTCATGTTATCCAGGCTCTATGGTCCACAATGGGTGACATAAGGAAGAAAGAACACACAAGGAGAAACCAGGCTGATGAGAGCTAACAGTTTAACAGGGCACAAAGTGTGCCCAGGAGCTACTTCTCTCTGCCCCTGATTTAGGACTCTGCATGAGACTGCAGCTGCCTGTGAACAGTGTGAGACCTGACAGGTCTGCTTTGAAAAAGAAAGAAAACTCTTTTTTGTTTGGTTTTTACACTGTCTAGCTGTAAAACACGGCTCCCCTGGGTCATGTTTTCAATACCACACACAAAGTCATCGATATTCCTTGTTAGTTTTTATAGGTTAAGCACTGGGAACATTTGATCTTATCTCTCAGTTCTCCATCCCTTCTTGCTATTCAGAGAATAAAAAAAATAAAAAAATAAAATAAAATAAAAAAATTAAAGCCAGCTCAGTCTTTCCAACAACTAAAAGCAGGAAAAGAAATCTAATTGATGATTTTCAATAATACTGCAAACAGGAAAAAGGACTAAAAAACAGTTTATTGAATGGAATTCTAATTAAGATACTGATTTACATGTTAATGACCAGGTGGAAATCTTTAGTTTGGTCTTTTTTATTGTTATCATTGCTCTAGTCTATTTTAAATAAAAGCAGCTTTATTTATAAATTCTAGTAGCCTCTGACATGCATCATTTACTTACACTTCCACTAAGCTATCCCTTTATTTCATGGCACTTTCAGTCTCAGGTATAACTATTATTCCCTCCCTTTTGTCAAAACAAAAGGCTTAAGTAATTGTTTTCAGATTTTTAAACATGGAACTAGGCTTCTGAAATCATACTGGATGACATATATGGAAAAGACAATGCTAACTCTGTCTGTATCTCAGCTGGCCCAAATGGCTTGTTAATGATGTGGTTATTGCACTTGGAATTTGCAAAGCACAGAGACTGACAACAAGGTTCAACACCAGGTGTCAAATAGAACTACAGGCTGAACTACAAAGATGCAGAAATTATATTTTTTTCTTCTCATTTTAAAACAAACAAACGAAGCTTTTTGACCTGAATGAACATATACTTCAAAAACAGCAACTGAAAGAATTGCTGGATTTTGCTGGAGGATGTCTGAAAAGGTCAGTGAAAGTCAGACCAGCAAAACACAGATCAGTCACTGCAAGGAATCTCTTCCCTGTGTAAGCTCTTT